GTTAAAAGAATACGAAGACATAAATAGACTAACATATCCTGAAAACTTGGCCTTGGCAGAACATAACTACAAAACAAGACCTATCATAAACTGGTAACAACATAGATTCTTTGACCTTTCTTTATTTCCAGTGGTTAACTATGTCTTAAATTCTATCTAAATCAAACTACTCCAACCCAAACTTAACAGAATTAATGGCCAGTATGCCAACAACTTGTGGACATACTCTGCAGTTAATATGATGTCACAGTCCTAATGATGATACCTGCCAATCACTGCACCTGCTCAACCTACACAGCTTGAAGCTTTACTACAAGGTTGATATTACATTTGTAAGACACAACATAAGTACACACACACTGTCCTGAAGAAGGCTTCACTGTAAAAACTGAAATATTGTCCCATTTGCATTCATCAGGCAACTACAGTCCATTATAGTTTTCAAATTAACTATATCTATTTTCCCAAAGGTTCTGCTGAAATGGTAGTAAATATTAACTTTCCATAACTTTTTTTGTAATAATCTTTCCCTAAGTACTGGTATTACCTATTGTTAATTTATGTTTAGTAACTTTTGACAAAGATAAATGAGCAAGCTATGCAGCAATCGGTATATTTTTGAGTGAGTAAATAATGATTACTAAGCATGATAATACTTGGTATGTAGGGATGGGCTGAGAAAAAAATGGCTGCCGCATTTAATCTATTACTCTCTGATGCTTGGAAATAACTGTTAAAGTAGAGTTATTTGAGCACCTAATTGCCATTATCAAGTGTTTCACAGTGTGTGAGACTCCTAATATCATTGAAAAGTGTTGTTAAAATGGAGAACTAGGAACTAGCTAAATAGCCAAAGTGTTCACCTTTCTTTTTTTTCTTTTCCCACTCTAGCCAAAAAATGTGTAAAGTTCTTGCAATGGCTTTAGTATGACAGAAAAGCATTTTAAGAGCACTTGGGAACAGGCTATCACTAAGAACAATAGTGCTTAGTATAACCTAACAAAACAACCACCTTAATTCTAGTGTAAATCATGTTATCAATACCCCTTGAAGTTAGCTTTTTTACAGAAAGCTGGTGTTCCTTTAAAAAGTTTAGGTACAGGGTGAAACTGGAATTACCAGCCAATAATAGATAAACATTAAATGACTGTAACATGTAGAATACTCAATGCTTTGTACACTGTACAATTGGTATCTTTAGAGAACCAACCCCTATATTATGTATGAAGTGAATAAGTAAAAAAAAAAAAAAAACAATACACATACTATTAAATTTTATTACACACATTCATAGAATACACGAACTTTCAGTCAGGGAAAGAAACATCACAAAACAATTAATAAAAAAAAACATTTTGTAAATGTAAAATTGAGTAGGGATGACAGTGCCAAACAGAATGCAAATATGAATATAGATATGATACAGCTATACATTTTTTCATATGTTCTTTCTTTACTGTAGGTTCCACAACAATAAGTCAAGATTATGACCAGTGATGATTAATAATTTTATTGTAGCCAGTTGTGTGGTATAACATCAATATCCAAGGTTATTCTACAAGAACAATTTAGAAACTGACAAAACTGATATGATATTAACAATATATATTACCATTGAATTATAAAAATAAAACATGTTCATTTATCAACCTACTTCAATGAAATTGTTTAAGAAATAAGTATGGTATAGGGATGGCAATGCCAAAAAGTACAGAAACAAGGTAGAGATGAATACACAAATAGCCAAATCTTTCCAAGAACAACTTTTTTTCTAAAGTTAAATGTTGAATTCCTGTCATTTTCATGAATTTGGGTTTGAATAAAACCATATAAACTGGATAGTGCTATACAATCTTACAGTGGGTAATAACCATAAACTTGTAAGATGACTCAGTACTTACTGCCTACTAATGTATGGACTTTTGTGTATTCATTCCTGCCTTGTTTTAGTATTTTTTGGCATTGTCATCCCTACATCATACTTAATCTTTGCTAAGTTGTTTTTATTACTTGTGGATATTAACTTCTCTAACATTTTCCTTTTGTTAAAGTAGTCTTACCCAAAGTAACATTTGGTTACATATGTAGCTTGTAATGCATAAGTAATATATCTAATTAAAGCTACACTATTATTTTGACAAACTAGGTATACATAACAACAATCATTGTGGCTAGTTGCATAACCAAGAGCCACTAAGCCACATCCTTATATTAGTGAGCAAAATGCATGCATACCAACACGTGTAACTGTACTAATGGAAGTAGTGATAGCTCTTGTGTCGTGTATAAGTTCAGATTATATGCATCTGAAGCTGAATAAGTTTGAGTTATGGAGAAACTAGGCTATCTGCTGCTGTCCCTAATTTTGAATTACTGACCAGGGAGAAGGCAACCAATCAGCAGCACTTACTGCCAATACTTGGACTACTCTTTACCAATGAATAGGATTAACTATTACTTTATAACACCTCCTGGCCAGTGGCTAGGAAGGTTGCCTTGTGGATTTAATACCTTGTACCACTAAACATGTTCACTCTTTCAGCCATAGGGCTATTATAATGTCCTCCTCTTTCACACTATTCATTGGTAAAAAAGTATTCCAGGAGTTTGCAATGGGTTCTTTCAGCCAGTTGATTTCCCTCTCATTTACCAACTCAAAAGTAGAGGATGGTGGCAGATAACCTTAGTAGCTTTGCCATAAATGAAAGAGTAAATATGATTAGTAGCAATGGGTATCAACCCTGTGACCCTCAAATCATTAGGCAACCTCCCTAATCAATGGCCTCAGAAGCTGAATATATTTGAATTCATTTAAAAAAATAGTATTTAGAAGTCATGATATCTCTCTCTTGTGTCTTATCTATGAACAAACATTGGAAGTCGTAGTTCTCCATCTTTCTTTGTCTCGAACTAACTAGATACTGGGTTGTCAATCCACTTCCTAAGGCTAGTAATGTATTTTGTTCTTTGATTTCCCCCTTGTCTCTTTTTTTCCCTTGATTTCTCCTGTCAGTATTTGATATTCTAAGCTTTCTTTGCAGATGACATGCCCTAGGAATTTTAACTGTCTTTTTCTTATGGTTTTTATGATATTTCTTTGCTTTTGCTCTTTCTAGCACTTTTTTCATTCACTGCTATTCCAAGCATTCTTCTTCATAACTATTTTCAGTGGCTTGTAACTTCATAACTTTTTAGTCCCGATATAAATATTTCAATTACTGAGATGGTTTGAATAATCAAAAATATTAATAATTGGACACACTTGTTTTCATTAAACCATTATGTTAGGTGACACTCGATGTAATCATTGCTCATAGGTACTTGATTAATTAATTGCCTACCTCTAATTCCTTTGTACAGTAAAGACACTCCGAAAGTATCCATGTGTGTGATTGCTTAACTGTATTTTTGTGCATTCTGTTCTCCCTCAGGTGATTACCTTGATATACTCGTATTCACATAAAACTCTAAACTAGATTGAAAGAACTAGATGTTTGTCTTGATCTGTGCCTATTAGTAATCTCACATGTCACTGTTATATTTGGTAATTTCCTGATTTATAATAACTGTCATGAAGTACAACACAGTGCTTTTCTGAGGGTACTTGAAGACATTTTTATATTAAGTTAAACTTTATTAACCAAAAACAAACTTTCAAACAAAATATTTTTAAAAAAATGGCTAGTTTTGGCCATAGATCTACATCAGGTATTGGATAATTGAATATATATGTTATTGTTAGAAAGAAAATTATTTATCAAAACATGTTCAAGAATACAAAAGATTTGACAAACAATGCTGATAGGGCCAGCATTATGCAGAAACCTTAGTGGGCCTTACACTTCCAGTTTTTCCTGTGCTACCCCAGTTTCAGATTCTAAACTGATATAAAAAAATGCTTATTTTACAGTAATTTGGTGTGTGTATTTGTGTTAGTTTATTGCTTTAAAAAGCCTAGTCACTGTATTATTCTATTCATTTCAATTAGCTTGGATGTAAAGGTTTCTAATGCCTTATTAATAATACCAATAATAAAACAAAATCCAGGAAAGCCACATTATACCAGTGTTTCATAATAATGTACTTTTATATGATTTATTAATTAATGTACAGTGAAATGTGATACTAATGAATACTAGTTAATTGATTTCAGTTACCTTTTTAAAATATGCCCCTCACTGTAAATAAGTGGGTTCCTCCTCATAGCACACATGCTACTGCTGGGGCTGAATACTGATGTTTATGAAAAAATAAATATCGGAGCTCACTTTGTGGAGTACATATTTTAAACATTTTTCAAACACCTGAAAAATAATATATTAATGTTAAACCTTCATGGCAATTTAAATTGCAAGTTCCACTAATTTCCCAGCTCTACGCATTTCTATTCTCTAATCATGTCCACTTTATTTTACTTTAATTTTATTTTCAAGTGAATTTCTCTGAATTTGTCTTTTCACTTAAATACAGTTTACTTCTCTTATCTTCTCCACAGTGCAGTTGTATATCCATCATTTCACATACTTTTTTTTTTCTATCTTCAGAAAAGTTTTTTTATTTTACTCATACTTCATCTTGCAAAAACACTACACTCATCTTTTCACGTACTAAATCCTCACATCTCAATTTTTTGTGGAGATCAGCTGACTATGATATGTCATTCCTTCATTTACCACTGTAGAAACTATCTAGACATGTAGTCTTTAACAGAGCTATAAATTATTAAATATGTTATGCTTCAGCTTTTCTTATAAAGTTCTGTTCAAATTTTTGTTTTCAAATTAATATGGCTGTTCATGTTGTTATTTTTTTAGTGTTTAATATTAACATCAAATCACTTAATAAGAAATGTGGGATTTATTTTTTAATTTGAAAGTGCACTTTTTGCTGTAAGTTCAGTTTGAATAAGTTTTTTCATACTTTGATTTTGTGGTTTTAAAAAAAATTAAAAAAAGTTTTTTATTCATATTCTAAAATCCTGACTGTCTGATCTATGACAGGAGTTTGTGACCAAAGTTTTGGAATCCAGGTAGCTGCACTTGCTCACTTCCCAAATCATGTCATAGAGGTAAGTCTTATCATTAGTAACATACCATGAAGGTAACCTTATCATCATAAGCTCATCACATAACTTTAAAGTTGTTCTTCACTAACATGTTAGAGGCAACCCAGCCATTATTAACTTAACATGTCATAGACATAAACCAGTCAGTATTAACACATTTTATGAAGAAAAACTCATTATCTAGTGAAACTTCTGTTATTCCTCAACACTTCACCTTATGGCTTTATCAAGAGGTAAACACTACTGAATACAAGTCCAGTCTTAACAGACCAAAACAGCTGATGTAATTTAAAATAAGAACATTGCTTTCTCATGCATTATCTGATATGCAGTCATGTTGTCAACAATGAAAAGGTAACAATAATAAATGTGTGATAAGAATATAATCATGGTGAAAAAAATATAAATTTAAAACAAAAGGTGACTCGTCAATGGTCATGGCCTGGTGGTCAAATTATTTTTCTGTTGTAGTTACATGCATTCAAACTATTACCAAATCAAGTGCAAGGTGATTTTCATTTTAAGTATAAAAATACTTTTCTTCGTCTTACAGTTTTCATATTTCATTTGCCTAATCTCTAGAAACTTCTAAAAGGATATCAAAAGCTTTTTTAAGGTAAATGTTTATATTTCATTTCTCATTTTTTTTATCATATCACTAACGCTAGCTATTATTATCAACGTACAATGCAATGAAATGATTAAAATTAGGAAATAAACAAAAAAACATACCTTTTCATTTTTTGTAGAATATCATTAAAGATTTTCCTTTGGTTAAGTTTATAATTTCAGGTCTTTTAACATTAGTTAATTTTTAAGGTTTTATTTTCTGTTCTTGTCTTTTAACATTTATTATTATTCATCTCAACACATGTCAATGGTGTCCTTGAGGCATATTATAGTTTCTTTGGGAGACGTGCATCCCTTTGGCAAAATTTTTGTTCAGCACGTCATATCGTAAGCCTTGAGAATGGATGCAAGTATGATGTATGTTTAAATAACTGACATCTGTTTCAAAGTTATTAAACATATAGAATTATGATTATATTATATCAAAGCAACCAATTTCTATTCTATATCTTTAATAACTTTGATACCAGATGTCAGTTATTGTTACAAATATCACCTAGAAACATATTTTAAAGAGGTGTTCCACAGTTTAATGAATTTTTTTGCTCAGTGCAATGTTGCCCGATGAAGGCTTCAGTAAGAAAGCTTGCAATAAAAGTATTTTAATGTAGAGAAAAGTCCATTTAAAATTCTACACATTACAAAAACAAATTATATATACATTTTTTTGATACAACATTACAAAAACAAATTATGTATACACTTTTTTGATACAATGTTACAAAAACAAATTATATATTTATTCATCTCTGTAATTCTAATATAGTCTCTATTCATCTGAATCAGACTGTATTGCTGAGGAGTTGGTGTGGGTGTCCTGGGAGATTTCAAAGCAGCTTGTGCCTGTAAATACAAAAGACCAATTTAATTTGACAGACCAATACAGCTATTAATAAAATCTCAAATCAAAAGGTCTGAGATTTGTATTTTCATCTTTATGCCGAGGACTGTAATATTATTATATGCCAAAACAATGTTCATTAAATTAATCATTACAAACACCTGCTATACAAATACAGTTGCACCTAAGTTTATGCCAGAAATGAATATTTTGTTTCATGCAATATGAAGCTCAGACAAAGTTGGTACATGATTTAGCAGTGATGTCATTGTATTCTCTATTTTACTTTTGTCTTGAATGCATTTCAGATTTGGCTATATTATATTCTGCATATTTTAATTGCTATATTTTATCGTGTAAATTACTTAACAGTTTTGACCAATACAATGTGCATCACTTTATTTGTCAATATATTTCCCAGGAACAGGTATCCACTGCACTTGCTTGGTGCATGCTTAAGAGTTTGTCATCTGCAGCTGAACCTCAGCATTCTGGCATTTGGGGGTGAATTTGTCTTCATGCCTCTGTTGAATCATTAAAAAAGTTTCTTATTGCAATTTACAATAACAATGTCAAATTTAACAAAGTTAGGATTTTACCTCTATAACACTGGAAAATACATAAGTTTAAGAAAACAATCAGACTTTATAAATGTGGTAATGAGGTATTAAAGTACATCACCACCTAATACAAACTTTGTATGTCATTGATATTTTATAAACAGTCTTATTCGTTGTTACCTAACTGACCCTTTCTGAATACTTTCCACTGGAAAGAACATCATGAAACTAAAGAAAAACAAACACCTCAAAAAACTCAACACACAAAAAACATAGAAAACACAAGTGAAATCTCCGATGATACCCCAGACAACATTCATCTATCCTCTACCAACCAACACCCAACTGGAGATACAAATCACCAAGAAGATAATTGGATTCACCTATCAATCAGCAGTCACCTATTTGACTTGCAGAATTATCAACTGCCAAAAACATCAACAGCCACAGAACAAAAGATACAGCACCAGATAAAAATATTCTAGCAACACATGAAAATCATCAAGAAAAGGCTAACATCTTACCAGCAAAAAAAAAGCAGCTATAAAAGAGCTCCAAACAAACAACAATCTAATCATAAAAGAATGAGACAAAAGGAAAGGTTTTGTAGTCTTAACCAAAAAAGGTTACCAAGGTGAAATAGAAGAACATCTTCAAGACACTTCTACCTATGCTCCTTCAAACACAAATCCAACAAAGATGAACGGAGAAGAAGCCAAAAAAATACTTAAAGCATCTAAAAGAAGAAAGTGCTTTGCCAGAAAAATAACCAACAGAATTAAAACCCTTCCATAGCTGTATAACTATATGGAGTCCCTAAAGACAATAAACAAAATTTACCTTTAAGACCGATAGTGTCAGCATATGACTACAACAGAAACCATATCCTGTTTATTTGATCAACTGTTTAAACTTTGTCTGAAGTATGTTCCATTACACTTAACTCTTTCAGCACGGGCTCGGTCCCTGGGACTGACCTCGTAACCATTTTGTGCTTGTTATAGTTTTCATGCTATAACTTTGAAATTAGTAAGCAAATGTTATTGAAATTTGGCAGATTATCAGTAAACATTACAATGCTTTCATGCTCAAAATATCAATTTTTTTTATTAAGTCTTAGGTTTGAAAAGCAATGTTTTTCTCATGTCTTTTTTTTTTTTTCTTTTCACATGTTGCCTATCTATCATGCAAAGTAATATTAATTTTAAGATTAAATATACATTTATGCATCAGAAAATTTTGGAAATTTCACATGCGAAATCGTTATAATGTTCAGATAGTTATCAAATGTTTCTTAAGAGAAAACTTTATATTTTATGTGTTATTTTCAGTAATTAATCTCTATCCTGGTTGGTAGATTTGATCGATCTTGCAACCACCATAAAAATTAGGAAATAAGTAAAAATTATGCCTCTTTCATTCTATACAAACACAGAAAATCCAAACCCACTTCAAGTTTCTATCTTACAAAAAACCAAAGATTTTAAAGAGAGATAAAATATATGGAAGCTATACTCATTAACGAAAAAAGTCCAAAAATTAACAGAGACAATAGGTGGTACATGTAACTAAACCACCATTAATAAAACAACACATTGTACCAATACATTTAACACTTGCATGCTCTGGAGTATCATACAGTCTTACAATTTGTTTTTAACATTGCTAGTAAGATTTGTATCCTTTCCACTTATTGTTTTTTTAGCAACTTCTATTTTCTGTCTGTGTTTTCAGTTAATCATAAAACATATCATGGTTCTCTTGATTTTTTATATTTTATTTAAGTAATATCTATCATATGTTTGTATAGCTACATATATATATTGTTAGACGCACGTCACAACAGACTCGACAAATAGAATACTACAAGTAGTTTTATAATTTAACAAATATTTTAATATCAAACAGTTGTGTATATTAACTTTGATGAAGCCGCAAAGGCGAAACATTGGTTGAAATTAAAATATATTCTTTTATATTTATCTGGATTGTAAAGGTAGTTTTTTTTTCTAAACTTTATGAATACTATTGTTTTCATTGCACAGTCAGTCTATGGAGTTGGCCTATTTTCACCAAGCTATGTAAAATGGATAATCTTTTTAAATAATTACACGGGTAGTTTTTACAATGTTTACTGTACCAAAATAATAATTCATTAAAACTGAAAATATACAGATATACACACTGAACATAATTCATACAGAATCCCCAACATTTTCCCTCGCAAGGCACTCAGGACAGCAACCTGAAAAAATTGTTACACCATTTGGTCAGATGGATGCTTGATTAGATCTACAGATTGGCATACATTTGACATGTCTAAACTATTTATTTGCATGATAATAAGTATCAATGAACAAGTAGCTGTTCATTATAGGACTTGCCAGTTTTTTTCTCTGGCTTGGGTTTTCTGATAGCTTGGTACAGATTTGGTACAGATCTTACCATGTATCCATTGGTTCCTCCACCATGTCCTCCAACACTTTCACCTCTTGTGCCTGGGCTTATGAAATCACTGTCCCTTTACCAGCATGTTATTGGAGAAGTTCTGTGTGCTTTTTTTTGGTTGGCAATGATTTAATCCAGTCTTATTAGTACTTGCCACTGGTAATCTAAAGGAAGAATGCAGAACAAGGATTGGTAGTTGCCCAATTAACATAATATTGTGTGAAGATAAAAGCAGTGCAGCTTTTAACTAGTGATCTGGTTACCCCAGGCCACCAAAAATTGAGCTGGGCTATTAAATCTGACAACTTGGTGCCACAACCTTTAATTGCATTATATTGAAGTTTATTTTGTTGAGCATGGCAATCTGAATGTTGGGCAACTATATATAAGTATTGAAACATTAAAAATACCAGTGTAAAGCAATAATCATTTTATATTGATGTGTGGTGATTTATTTTTGAAAAACTTTGAGAATTTTTCTTTAATTGGTTCCATAAGGGTTTGTTTGATTAAAAGGTCTATTT